GTATGGGAGATTGCGCTGTGTATGGGAGATTTAAGAGAAAGTATCCAATCAGTACATTTGTGATCTGTTCTCTCTAGTAAAGAGTTGAAGAAAACTTCAGAGGCAAAGAATCAGTTGAATGGAAATGAAACAACACATTAACCCAAGTGCAATGTCTCGTCAACGTTCAGAACTTAAAGATACTAAGGGAAAAAGGAAGGATCTGCTATATCTTGCCCTCAGGAGAGCATCCAAGAAAATGTGCAGCAGAGTATGGGCGGAAAAACAAATGTGGCCTTTGGGCTTAATTGTTACAAATCAGTGTGATTGTTGTTGGCCAAATGATTGGTACTCTTATGTATCAATGATTGTATCAGAGTTATACGACCATGATTGGAAAACCCATTAAGAAAAACAACTTACTCGTTACTAAGTAAACATGAAGAGAAAGAGTTTGCTTTGTTAACAGAATGCCAGTTAAGTAGTCCTGTAATGTTATTGCATATGTATTGTGGTTATGTGTATGAATGCTCAGAGTTGAACTTCAACTTTATTTAAAAGATAAAGCACCTTCAGAATATTGTGTACTCCAAATGGTCTTTTAAGAAGTTATTACTATGGGAACTATTTGCATTTTTAGTATTACAATTTTGTATTTGTTTTGAAAGAGTCATGTGTAACTTGTAATATCCCTAAACCCATAGGGGGTGTTTGTTGGACTGGTAACATTCTTCTCATTGTTTTTTTTATGTCTTAAAAATGTTTTTCATATTTAAACCATGTAAGCAGTTTTTGGACTGACACTGTTTCAATATTTATTTTAGTCTCAATATTTGTTCATAAATTATCATGTTGAATTATTTATTTCATTTGTTCCAGAATAACAGTATCATTGGTACTGTCGTGACTCTATAACTGTGCATTTTGAAATACGACATTATAACAGGAAAATTCTTTTTTGGTTGCATGTGTGTTTTTTCCCCTTTGATTGTTCTTTTTCCATATGTGATTCTAAATCGGCTGATAAAATATTTAACCCCAAGATGATTAAAATTAGAAAAACTTTTTGCCAAATTCTGAAATTGGCTCCATTAAAATAAGAAGTGAGAAACCCAGCATGGGCACTCGAGTGTAAATTTTGTCCAGATGTATACCCGGTGGGCAATAGCTCTAGTCAAAATATGTTTGGCCTTTTTCCCTGCACGTGTTTGGAGGCCCTAAAACTGGTAAGCATGCCTCTGCTGTGTACAACCTTCTTGTTTGTGATGAAGGCATTTCACAAGCGGCAGTAGCACCGGTATCCATTGTGAGGTGGCACTAAGCACGTGGTGGAGACCCCCATGTGTGTGTGTCAGGCCCATCTGCGTCTGGCCAGCGTGCCCCCTTCATGCAAGCTATTTCTGTCTTGTGAGTGCACTTGACAATTGAAAAAATAAAAGCATACCTCTGTCTGCAATTTCAGTTCAAAGTTGTGAGATCGATGATAATTCTGTGATTTTAGTTCTAATCACAAAGCATCTCAGCAAGTTATAGAAATATCTAAAATTGAAACAAAATATTATGTCCACGAAAGTAAAGCTGAAATCTTAATGGCCATATTAAAAAAAAACGTGTTATTTTTGTATCGTAACCACGGAAGACAAAAGTAGCCATCGAGGGAAGCACCAGGAAAAGCTGGTCCTCCTCACAGTCAGTTCTTTGTGTCTTTGGCCTGCCAGCGGTGTCAGCCTGGGTCCACTGTACAAACACCCACCGCTGTCATCTTCTCTGAGGCAGGATGTAGTGGGGCCGTGTGGACCGGGACCCTCCAGCAAGAGATCGGAAACAGGTTGAGGAATCAGGCACAAAAGTTGATTTCAAAACTGTGACCTTAGTAACACGTTTGTTTTCTTGGTATTCATTCCAATCTTCTTTCTTTTTTTTCTTATTCTTTTTTATTCCTCTTGGCAGTTCTGTCCAGACCCACACGGGAACAAACTGAGGGAGAGAGAGAGGGAGAGAGAGACCAATCTTCTTTCTATAAGTAATTGAATTTTATGCCGTTTTTATGTAGGTTTTTTCCCCTTAAAAAAGTAAGAATTTGACAGTCTCTTTTCCAAACCAAAATATTGTTCACCTATTCTTAGAAATTGATTTCCCCATTGATTCCAGTCTCTTAAAGGTTAAGGTTTCTTCAGAACCAAAATTATGCTGAGGACAAGGGTTGCAAACCCAGCATAAAAAGCAGGTTTTGAAAGTTGAAAGCATAAATACTTGGCACCATGAATGCAAATTTTGTCTTTAAAATGCCTACTTTAAAGGAAATTTTCACGAGAACTAGCCCCATTTGATTTCCTAGCCTATAATGTGCATGGTGGCAGGTTCCCAGCGGGTATTCTCTCTCCTATACCCGCCGTGTGGATCCAGGCCACCACCCTTTCCCGTAGCAGCCAAGTACTCAAGCACTGTGTCACCATGAGGACTTGGCCTCAATTTTAAGTTATTAGAAACATTTTATAAAAGAAAGGCATTTTCTCTTTAGGAATGTCAGCAACACTAATCTAGGAAATAAAGCATTTTATACCTTTATATGACATCACTATAGTCTTATATGTAACTCATTCTTACAGGGTAAGAAAATCCTAGAAACCATAACTGATCTGTAACCTTGCACTGTTATACATTTAAATTATTTGTCTTCCGTTTGAGGTCCGTATCTGAGAAGAAGATTAGAGGAACTTCTTCAAACATCCAGATTTTTTAAGCCATAGTCTGTTAGTTTCTCTTTACCTTATATATACACGAGTATAAGCCAACCTGAATATCAGCCGAGGCACCTAATTTAGCCACAAAAATGGCATTAAAAATGTGCTAAAAAACTCGGCTTAGACACAAGTATATACAGTAATTGAACTTACAGATACAATTCCCCCAAATGTTCATTTTATGTACACGGCTTCACTTGCTCTTCACCTCAAAACATGAAGTAGATGGACTCTTCTCCATCCTCCAAATAAGGAAACTGAAGCTCTAATGATGAAGTCTTCAGAGTCCAAGAACCAGTTACCAGTCGAGCAAGCTTTGTCTGGCTTCCTGACTGGCCTCTGCTGCCCTAGACTCCGGTTGTCATGGAGAGTAATCCACTGCTACAATCAATACTTATAGTCAGAGACCATAACACCGTCAGTAGCTAAAGAAGCAACTTGGACATCGTTCTTTCTCATCGCCGCACATAAGGACTAAAACTTGCCATGCTGTCAATTCTGACCCATAGTAATCCTAGCCGACAGAGTAGAACTACCCCACAGGGTTGCCAAGGCCGTAAATCTTTAGGAGGAAAAACTGCTGCATGCTTGTGCAGTGGCCAGTGGATTTGAACCTCCAGCCTTTTGGTTAACATCCGCTACCAGCGTTCCTTACTGAGGGCCTAGAAACATCTGATATGTTAATAGTGCAAGCCACTTAAGTAAGTGAAACATATGAGAGAGAGAAAACTTAACTGATCATTCCTTTATCCTAGAATTATTTGTAGTAAATCTTTAGTCCGTACTACAGATCTTATTTCCTCAAGAAAACAACTTCTCCAGAGTCAAATAGACTTGTACAGTAACATTGTATTGAAGAACCAGAAAGGGCACCATCTCAGTCATAAAAGAGAGACTACAGACATCAAGCCACACGTCAATCAGAGGGCCCTGTTGACTGGCGAACTTAATCTATGGATGGGCCCAATTAGCTACAGGAGAACTGAATGTCAGCATCATTTAGGATTAACAATGGAGCCACCCGGCAAAAGCAGACGACGGCTACTCCCTGCAGACAGCTACTCTCTGTAGAGACCCAGGAAGCAAAGTTTGTAATGAAGCACTTCATTCATCATCTCCTTCTGCTCTAGTTATTAGGGTGAATAGGAAATATTTTAAGCCAAGGCGGGAACTGAGTAACATAAAAACATTTGTTTTGTAAACACAAAGAGTGCTTTTTTACCCCCCTAATGATGGCTAAATCTATATCAAACATATGTTGTGAGCACCCTCTTTTCTAAACTTGATTTTCTAGCCTCGGTGCCTCAAATTCATGACTGATGATAGATGGAATATATGTGTGTGTGTTCCATTATATGTGTTATATATGTTAAAAATATAATATATTTTCTCCAAAATTTGAGGAAGCTAATACCACTAACAATCTACAAGTTTAATTTCTGCACTCAAGCTGAAAGAAAATAGGATCATAAGTACACATTGAATCCTATCAAATTCATATTCCGTCCCTCTCAGGCCAAAACGATTCAAGCTCCGGGCCCTTGCTAAAAGTACTAAACGGTCTGACTTTAATTTGCAATTTATTTCTTCTTCAAACATCCCTTGATACTTGTCAAAAGTAAATCCATAAAAGCATGCGATAGGGGAAATGTAAGTCTGGCTTATACCTTTCTCTAAGTCACCACCACAGAACCAATTAAAGGGTGATTGCTCAATTGTTTAAAATGGAGATGGTGTGCTTAAAGACGATTCATTCTTATGGGGAAAAAAAAGTCCAAGCAGAGGAAAAAGCAAGAAGTTGAGAGAATAGTTTGTTGGCAGAGCTAAAGTGCCAACTAAAGCTTGCGAACAGTCATGAGACCGAAGGCAGAAGGTCCCCTGGAGAAAAGGGCGGCCCCCTCAGTTCGGCTCGTCAGGATCTTCAGCGTGGGAGAAACGTTAGGCTTCGTTTTGTTTTTCCATTACATTTCTTCGCAGGACCATTTTAGCTCAGTGTTCTACAAATGTTTTTTAGAGCCACATTTTTTTTTCAGTTTAAAATAAATGGGAGATAGTAAGGTACCTGTAATGCCTTGACCCACCCCTCATCCCTGAGTACCACACAGATGTGGATGTTCACAAGTACCTGCAAATGCTACTTTGAGCAGCTAGGAATGTCCTTAGTGGTAGAGAAAGACCAGCGACAGCTAAGCACATTAGGAACATCAAATTCGTATTACACTTATCATGTTTGCAGGCAGAGGACATAATAAACTAGTCTATTGCAGCTGTAAATTTCTGAGGATTTATCTAACCACAGATACATTGAAATGGGGAAATGGGGCTATATTAAACGATGCAAGATGCTGCTGGGGCTTTGCCATTTCTGCAACATCCTGTAATTAATTTATCATGACAGCTCTGGCAAACTGAAACATCCAATACACTTGCGACAGACTGCTGGCCTATGGTTGTGGGAGAGCCTGCAGCCAGGCTCCATGAAGGGAGCTGGTTCCCCCCGCGGCCCCTGCAAACAGGAATATAGAATTATTATACTAAAAAGTTTCTTATAGCCCAGGGCAGACTCCACTTATGAATTTCAAAATAGGCGTATCTGAAAAGATCTTGTGCTGAGATAATGCGCTTAATCTGCCCTCTGCCATGTGTGCGCTTTTCCTAAAGGGGGCCAGCCCTGGGGAGGGGGGGGACCCAGGTCTGGTCGTCCCTTCTCAGGCATGTGGGCTTAGCTTCCCTCCTGGGGTATTTTCACATCAGTTCTCTTCGGAGCATGCCCTCTCTCTGTAAACAGGCTACTACCCCCTCCATCTCCTTGTCCTCCTCTTATGGAAGCTGCAGCCCCGCCACTTTACCAGCATAAGCAAAGAAGAAATGAAGAGAACTTAACCCAGCTCCACTGTTCAAGAAAGGCAATGAAAATGTAACTCTTGTTTTGCCAAAATCGATTGCCCTACTATACAAAAGTACGTTCTTTGTCCGTGCGTATCTGTGTGAATTATCCTGTGGTTGCTTCGGGTATATAATCGGATGCAGTAAAGTGGTTGAAGAGTCAGGTGAGTCTGTAGGAAACAAGTGTTCTTCCTCTCCTAACACACTAGCTACCTCTCCTAAAACACTGTAAATTGCCTGCTTTCAAGAGAAAGTCACACCAGGACCCAAGGCTCTCTGGGAATCTTGAGTCCAGAAGTTTTAGTGAGAGGGCAAAGGTGGCAGGGAATGGGCTTGGGTGACAGACGGTGCATCCTCCTCAGCAGAAGCAGGTGAGAAGCCAGTCAAGGTATCACCAAGTGGTTCCAGTCCAGTTTCCAAAGGCTAAGTGCCCACACTGGGCAATCGGCATTGGTCATTTTCTCTACGGATTTTCTTTCTCTTATCTTTCTGTTGAAAACAGACTGATCCCAGAGATCTGAGAAGCTTATTGCTTGAGCTAAGTTTTAAAAAAGGAAAAACCAACTGATAGAACCAGAACCCAAAGGAACAGCCAAAGCTTGGTATCTTGCCACTTGCCCACTTCCACCCCATCTTCTCCCTTTAAAACCCCTTATAAACAACTGGGTGCCTGTGACCGTGCAAGTATGTGAATATGAACGTGACCGTGTGTGAAGTGTGAGTGTGTGTGTGATGTTGTCTATGAGTGAGTGACTGTGTATGTTTGTGTGTGTGTTCTTCAAAGACTAAATGAAGATTCATGTACACCCTCCAGTTAAGTAACTTGCCCAG